TAGATTGCTTTTGGGTAATCATGCTCTTGCGTGACCACGTGTATTATTTCCGCTTGTGCAACAATGCTTGTAATGTACTCCACATCGCTGTCATCAGAGGATTCATCCCTCAGGTTGTGCACTTTTCTAGTTGGAGTTGTGTAGGTAGTTGCGAAGTGATTTCTGCCACCGCACTTTGTACATTTCGTTCCCCACGCTGGACACTTGCCCTTTTTGACAGGATGTGCTTTGCCACAGAATTTACATGTCTTCGGTTTCCCCACGTGGCTCTTCTTGGACTTGTCATCACGGTGGCTTGAAGGCGGGTGTTTATCTTGCATGACGTGAACATCTTTGTGCTGGGTGCCAGAGATCGTTTTTAATTACAAATTTGTTGCTTCAGAACTCTTGCAAAGATCAATACACCTCAACAGAGCGAGACTCCATTCTTGTAGAAGCTGTTTGCGAGTGCGGTGATCTTGAATGCCCAGGACAATAGAGTCCTAAAGTGATGACGTCACAAAAATAAAATTTTTGAATTATGGGATATGATGTCATATTCTTATAGAGGATCCTAAAAGATGCCCTCATCCCAAAAATTAGTTCTGAATTGCAATTCCCGATAGAGATATAAGGGATCAAAGTTTGATATCACCCCATACAAACCCTTCAAAATTTGTTTCACTTCCTTCAGTTTAGAACTGACTGAAAATTAGAGAGATTAATATGGGGCAGTACCAAATTTTCAGCTTTTATATTTCGGCTGGGAATTACAATTAAGAGGTAATTTTTGGCAAAGACTCTTTTTTAAGGATGCTCTATTCGAAAATGGCGCAAATCCCATAATTTCTCAAAATTATTTTTTTGTGACGTCACACTTTAGGACTCTATCCTGTCACAAATTATTGAATTACGCATGCAGTCACAAAAATTACTTGTTTTCATGAGTGTGCAGAGGGCGGTGACATAAGCATCAATGCTTTTGTTTCCTGTTGGTTTCTGGAGTTGAAAATGTACCTTTCAAAGGTTTCGTTCAGTTCTCTGATGGTGAATTCGTCGAACTTTTGTATTATCTTTGCCAAGTCATTTTTATCGTCTGGATTGTCAAATTGGAAGCCGTTAAAAATCTTTAGCGCATCAACACCGATACAATGCAGGAACAATGCGACCTTGTATGCCGATGGTTTCATCTCAAGTTGAGCAATGACCATGTAGTTGCTCCACATTTGTTTCCATACTTTCCAGTTGTCCGCCACGTTCCCAGTTGTAACTAATTTTCCAGGGGGCATTATCCCGGCCATCGCGCCGAAAGACGGGTGTTGCACAAGTCCCTGTTGTGCTTGTGGCTGTTGTGAAAAACCAGGTGGTGGTGCTTCTGTCGCCGTTTCGGTGTCAGACATGGCTACAGGATTATTTCAGCTGTAGTTTGCGACTCTGTAAGTGGTAGGTGAAGGATTCTTTTTCCTATTTCGCTGCCACCATGTTTCAAGTTCCTTTTAATCTAACATTCAATAGCGTACAGCGCAGTAAGACACGAGGATGAAACTTGATTCTAGTCTAGTTGAACATTGATAGTAATCACATGCATATTGTAACACTTTAGTTCTTTTTTTCATCTCTTTGAGTGATTTTAAGGCCTTTAGGAGTTGTGAAATCAAGGTGCATATTGGTGATTTGGTTCAAATTAGTGACTTGGTTTTCATAAATCCAGTCATATTACTATTTATTAAATCCATTTTGAAATCACTGGTTATCCTTGCAATCTGATTGGCTCTCAGTGGTGCGATTTATTGACGAATCGCACTATTTTTTGCTCCAAATCGCATCTTTTTCTCAGCCAATGAGAATGGGACAGTAAAACAAAACAAGCAATCAGATTTCAAGGTTAGTTTAAAGTAATCAATAAAATTTCAGCAAAAGGAAGGGCAAAAAGCCATTGTGTGTCGAATTTTGCATCTACTATATTTGCCAAAACTTGTTATTGTTTTTTTTTTCCAAAAAAATTGTCGAACTTAATTAATTACAGTTTCTGAATGATGACTATAAGCTCCTTTAGGTTAAAGACCTACTTTAATGGAAGTTTTCAACTTTCAGTGTTCATTTTGACGAATATTTTGGCGATTTTTTCTTCAACATCTGCGCAAGGTCCATATAATACCGAGTCCAGTAAAACATAAGCAAACGAAAACCACACAGCAACAAATTCAGAGCCTCCTCAAAAAGGTAGATGTTTCAAGGTTTCCGGTAGTTTCAAACGAAGCAACACAAGAGCTCAACTCCATTGCTGTAAATAACCCATAGTCAAAACTACAAAACAGTGAATGAATGAACGTGTTACAAAGCTGGTGCCAGTCCCGCCATCTTGAAAATATCTTGAAACAAATTGCACCGCAAGAACTTGACAAGGTCCCGAGTATTGAGTTCTACGCTGAGTTCACAAAAAGAAACGGAGATGATAATGAGCTGGAATCCCTAGAGTGCCATTGAACAGGTATTTAAAAGAGAAAAACTATCCAGTGGACATCGTGCACTCGAAGGAGTTTCACAACTCAAAGGAAANTTCATTCCGTTTATTTTGCCTTTTTACTTAATGTACAGTATTTATAAATATTTTAATGCGAGGCAAGGTGACCTCTAGAAACCATCAGGCTTTTAGTTGAGGTCAACTCGTACGTAACAATACAGTTATATAAATAGTGCAACAGTGTGCGGCTTTGCCAGTTCAGTAATTATTTTACTAAAAACTGTTGCAGTTTTTTCTTAAAATTGGGAAATTTGAAGTGGTTTTGTGCAACATCAAAACAGAAGAAACTATGATCAATACTGACAACAGAATAAGGCCATGCTATTGTGTGATGATGTTAGAATTAAATTAGTTCTTGCTATAAAATGAGTCCAGAAAAATTACCCGGACTCAACACCAATCTGCTGTTTATTCTTAGCTACTATTAAAGACTGCATGAAGTTTAGCTGTCTTGCTGGGAGCAGATCCTTTGAAATTCTAACAAGCAAATATACTGATCAAATTGTTAATTAAAAATCAATTAACCATGATAAAATTAGACTTAATATCTGATCTCCTGTCTAGTGAAGCAAAATTTTTTTTGGGTGTGATTTCAAGGCCTTCAGGAGTCATAAAATCAAAGTGTGTATGGGTAATTTGGTTCAAAGTATAAAGTATAAGCAAAGTATAAATGCAGTCATAATATTATATTGGCACACAATGTTCAAAATGATCAGGAAATGCCCTAGTTTGACTCCAAATGCTCTAGAGAGGCCGGCAATAAATTAACATGCTCATCTTTTGGCCTTCCAGGTCATCCAGTCATGTTTCCTGGAAATGTCTGGATTTACGAAAACAGTAGATGATGTAAGAATTTAAAGGAATGTCAGTCTTTTTTTCTTCTCTCTTTATGTTTCAAGTTCCGTTTAATCTAACATTCAATAGCGTACAGTGCAGTAAGACAAGGATGAAACTCAATTCTAGTCTAGTTGAACATTGATAGTAATCACGTGCATATTGTAACATCCTTCCTTTTGACAAAAAAAAATATGACAAAAATGTCAATGTCAATGTCAGTTCAGTTCGGAATCAATGGGTCCATAAGACAAATCTAGCAGCTGGTGAGTTCGACACAAAACGATCAATAAACGATAAACACTAATCACTATGATAACAGCAACGAAAGATTTAAAGTCACGAGTCTAGTCACAGACAAAGTCCTTGAGGTATGCTGGGCTCTTCCTGACTCGCTCTGATCTCCGACACTATTCCAGAACGGTCACCACCTCAGGGCGTGACTCACGAGGGGCACTACTCTGATCAGGGGTAGACACTGTAGTTGTAGTCGCCTTTTCATCTGCACTGGCTATATCTGGTTCTGGCTCTGTGATGATGGTTCAACGGGCGGTTCAGATGTTTTTTGCAGATGCCGTCAGTTCCTGCGGTAGACTGCTCCGTTGTCCATCTCAACGGTCTATGACTGCTCGTCAAGCCTTGCAGTGACTTGGGCCTTGCGCCAAGCCTTGTCGCCAAGCTTGAATGGCTTCATTCTAACAATGTCACCTTCAGACAGACTGGGTAGATCCTTTGCTGACCGGTTGTAGTATTTGGCTTGGGCCTGCTGGCATTGTCGCAGCTCTTTCTTGTCACTTTCCAGGTTTATGGTCCTGAGCAGTAGTAGATTCTGAGTTGTAGGAAGGAGTGTTTTGGTCCTTTGGCTCATCAGACGTTGTGCTGGGCTGGTCATCATTCCTTGTGTGGGCGTGTTTCTATAGTCGAGTATGGCAAGATATGGGTCGGTTCCAGCCCTGATTGATTTCTTCAGGATACGCTTGACTGTCTTCACCCCAGACTCGGCCTTGCCATTGGCCTTGCTATTTCCAGGGCTACTGGTAAGATGCTCAAAGTCCCATGTTCTGGAGAAGTCGGCAAATTCGTCAGATGTCAATTGCGGCCCATTGTCGCAGGTATGCCGTAGCGGGCAAAGTGACTCTTCAGGTTCAGAATGGTGGTACTGGCTTTGCTGTTTGGCAACCTGTCCACCTCCCAGAAATTGCCGTAATAGTCTATGGTGACTAGGTAATCCTTGCCATCAAGGGTAAAGATGTCTGTGGCAATCTTCGCCCAAGGACGAGATGGGACTTCGTGGGACATCAGTGTCTCCTTTGTGTGGGTAGTGCTGTCAAGTTCTCTACACGTTTCACACGCGGAGATGTACAGTTTCATTTCTGCAGCCATGCCTGGCCAGTAGATACATTCGCGCGCACGCCTCAGACACGCCTCTATTCCGAGGTGGGACGAGTGAATCTTCAGCTTCATATCCGCGCGAAGGCTCTTCGGTATCACGCCGGAACTCCCTTTGAAAACCAACCCATCTTGTACGA